AGGGTATCACAGTACAGTATACAGTATACTAACATACACAGGGTATCACAGTACAGTATGCAGTCCACTAACATGCATGGGGTATATCACAAAAACGTTTGTAGTCTAAGCCAATCATAAAATTGGATATTTAGTCATGCTAGTCGTAGGCAGCCGACATTTGCATTCCTATCATTCCAAATTCCTATCTATAACGTCTCATTTGTGTAACAAGAAGACTAAATGTTATAGATATATACGTACATCGTTACTTTTTTGGAGATTCCCCTGACTAGTAATTTCCAAGTACAGAAAACTTCGATATGAATACTCTTAAGTAGGTTCTTTTCTTTAAACATTGCATGAAAAATTGTTAAATTAACCAGACACATTGTTACATGGCAYGTTGTATCTTTTTAGGTCAAAGTTATTTAAATCTCACGGAATTTTGCATATTTTGACTAGAYGAACTTAGAACGTGAAGTTRGGATCTCTCTATTGGAAAATTGAGAAAGAAAGGATATCCCTYCTGGCTTGAGTGTTTTGACGTCGTTGCGCTAAGCCGTTAGAAAAGAATATCGTGGCGCGTGAATAAACAATTAGAATTTTGAACAGCACATTAATTTATTCAATAAACAAACTAGTTTATGTAACGCATTCTTGCTTTTACTATATATTAGAAGTAAAAAAGGTATTTTTACGTCATAATTTACTTTCATATATAATTATATGGTAGACTGAGATACAAATTTTTTCTTATCGTGTTGAAAATCTTTCACTCGTTCGCGTATCTGCGAACCCATGTTATATTCTGTCTTTCTCAATTTTCTAAAATAGCTAGCCCGACTTCACACTCTCAGAACGTATAGTTTGAATTAAAAATAATAGCAATAATCCTGATAGTGATGATTATAATGATTAATTTTAGGAGTTCATAAACGCTGAAATGATGGTTATAAGAAATATTCATTTAGGCTAACAAAGAAAGGTTCTCTTAAGAAATTAAAATTTCGACATTTTCTTTTAAATTATAAAAGACAGTACCCTTAGCACTATTTTGTATAATTAACGTTTGTACTCTACTATTCTAAGAAACATAAAAATGCTTGTAATAAATTATATAAATATCAAAATATTAAATTCAATATAGGTTTTGCACACCTCAAAGAGATTCAAGTATTTAAAGCACATTTAATTATAAAAACCACTGGCATCAAGGTTGTTATATTACGTCTGGTGTGGGAAATACTATGTAGTAGTAAGTGTAATGTGAGTTATTTCTGAAGAGGATAAAATCCTCATTGGAATTCCCCAATACAATGAACCAGAATTGACGTAGACATATGACCCCTTTTCATGCCGATAAAGACCAGAAAAATACGGTTGAAGGATAAGGTGATAAAGGTGGAGAGGAAACATTTGTCCAGCATGTGTGTGTCCACTTAGAACCAAACCAATGCTGGGGTAATCTTTTAAAGCAATTTGTGCTGACTTTGGTTGGTGTGCAAGCAGAACAGTTGCTGTGTGAGGTTTTAGACCTGACAGGGCCTTATTTATTTGCATTCCATGTTCACCATATCTACAATGAGATTTACATTCAAAACACTGCATCATCATGTGACTGACCAGTCATGTCCTCTTTTTGACCTGCACTGGCACTTGCTAGAAAAAACAGTCCATTGTCATACCGTGGGAGACTGGGTACAAGTCCCTTAATTCGCACGATGGTGAGATAAGACTTTTATAAAACGAAAGATCGCACTGTAATTAAGAAACTCACAATGTTTGGTGTTAATTGGATAAAATGTTACTGATTGGCAGGTTTTCAAAAATTCTAGATTTTACAAAGAAATGTACGGGAATTGAGAAAAATCTATACATTTTTTCGGAAATTCTAGTGTTTTGAAAGGCTGTAAATCGCTTAATATTGACYCGATCGACGCCAAATTCAGACAGTTAGTATTTCTCAATACGCTCTTTCGATTTGTGGGGACTTGGGACTTGTACCAAGTCTCTCACAGTATGAAATCGGGCAATTATATTTTGCATGTGCAAAACAAGCCAATTGTAACCTGTTTTTATTACTATTTTTTGTTTGATTCATTAGTTGTGTTGATCTGTTTTAAGTTACCCATTTATATTCGGCATTATCAAATTGATATTCATATTTTCAGTGTTCACATAGGTAGAGAAATGTGATAGCAAAGAGAATATTCTTGACACTTTTAAAAATTTAGACAAATCCAGACTCTACTCCACATGCAAGTTATACTGGACTCTCTTTGCCCATGAGCTGTGGAGCAGTCAAAACGAGTCCAGCACTGGACTGTGCATTATCAGTGTTGTGTTCATAGACAACCAAACAGTAGTTGGGTAAATTAATAGAACATTTRGCAAATCCTTATTATTCAACCAGCCTATAAATCAACATCAATTGCTATGAATTACCTGAATATTCCCCCTTCAATATCATCAACCCCAGCAATAGCCAACATAGCACTGGGCTTCCCAGGGGAACTTATTGTCACATGTGAATTATGGAGAACTGTTACACCAAGAAAGCTTAACTCTTTGATCCAACCATCAACGTCACCAGTGTAATATTCATGATTCCCTAAGAAAATGATTAGACTTACATGAATCATTCTAATCAAGCAATCATGGTCTGTCAATCAACAATCAATCAACCAATCATCAACTAACCAACCTATCAAGATAGCAAGGGTTTCAATTAAAGTGATACCGTTATATCATACAGGCAGCCCAACCATCAGATTTTTCATTCCATCTATATACCTATTTGCCAAAATTTCCCAGCAGAGTAAAGATAGGGAATCAACCACCCCCTCCCTCCCCCCCCCAAAAAAAGAGACAATAATGCTTTACAAATGGAGATTTCAAGTATGTCCAGATTTTACAATTATAAAGAAACAAGTTATATGTGATTCTACATCCCAGTAGGGTTGGGAATTCATTTTCCATAATTCAAAGAGTCTGATCTACTACAGAAGGCCTTTCATGTACACATTGAAGC